TGCGATGCTCCCCAGCCCACGGCGCCACTAGGAAAGATTTGGACCAGGTCGTGGTAGTGGTGGGTGGACGGGCTGGGCTGGAAGAGCCACCCCACGGACACCGGCACCTCCTCCAGGGTGTAGTTGGCATTCACTTCGCAGATGAGTTCAAAACTCTGACCGTATCTGACAGTGGCAATTCGGCTTCTCAGTGTGGCGTGCAGACCAAGACCTGCTCAGGAGGAGAGAGCCCTTGGTGCCGGGACAGACATCCTGCCTGGTGGGTGGACGGGCTGGGCTGGAAGAGCCACCCCACGGACACCGGCACCTCCTCCAGGGTGTAGTTGGCATTCACTTCGCAGATGAGTTCAAAACTCTGACCGTATCTGACAGTGGCAATTCGGCTTCTCAGTGTGGCGTGCAGACCAAGACCTGCTCAGGAGGAGAGAGCCCTTGGTGCCGGGACAGACATCCTGCCCCGTGCTGTCTCGCTGCCACCCTTCACAGGCAGCACCGTCCCCACAGCCCCATGGCAGCCAGCAGTCCTGCTGCTCCTGTCCAAGTTGCATGGTGGTCTTCCAGCCCCACGCAGTCCCTGGCGCTCTCCTATCTCACTCCCCGCTCTCCCAACCCCCCGGGCAGCCCTGAGTACCCTCTCTCTTCCAGTATCCCCAGTCCCACCCAGTGGCAGGGAGCCAGGGACCTTCTGCTGATGCTGCTGCCCCACCGGTGCTTTCAGGCACCCGGCTCAGCAATAAGAAGGGAAAACCACCCTAAATCACAGCCAAAAGCTGCCTCTCCATAAAGGCACCCTTTCCAGAAATCAAAAGAAGAAACTGTGTGGACATTGCACGCCGAGGAGGTTAGCAGCTCTGTGCTCAGACAGGAGGGCAGGAGAAGTGATCGGATGCCAGCACTAGGGGCGTATCGCTGACAAAGGCCACCACACAACTCAGCAAGTGCCTTTGTTGAGCTTAATTACTGGAAGCAATTATCTTGCTAGAACAGATATTTTGTATTTAAAGTTAAGAAGACAGTCAGAAAGACCTGCTGCGCTGACAAAGGCCACCACACAACTCAGCAAGTGCCTTTGTTGAGCTTAATTACTGGAAGCAATTATCTTGCTAGAACAGATATTTTGTATTTAAAGTTAAGAAGACAGTCAGAAAGACCTGCTGCGCAAGCCACTGCCTTTCAGGTCTCCGGGCATTTTAGCTGTTGGGTCCCACTTGTCTCTCTCAAAACATCTCATGGAGGACTCAAGCACCCTGCTAGAAATGGGGAAACTGAGGCACTCCAGGTCCAAGTGGTCAGCCCCAGGTCACCTTGCATCAGCAGCTTAGCTCAGGGCACAAGCAGACCTCTGTCCTACCCACATGCGTCCATACGCTTCTCCAGCCTTGCCTCCAGCATGTCCAGCTTGAAAGCCCAGAAACAGAGTTGGCCCAACTCACCCATAGAGCTGACTGTCACAGCTGTCTCCCCCTCCTTTGTCCAGCTCTGGCCTCGGGACCACTCCGTTGCTTTGCACCCGTATCGCCCACTGTCACCCTTGTCCAACGTGTTGGGGATCACCAGGGTGAAAGAGCCAGAGGTTGCTTTCTCCAGCTGAAGGTTCCCCCGAGGCCCGCCGCCCTGGTAGGCGCTGCCCAGGCTCAGGGTGCCGTCCCGCTCCATGGAGGCCACCAGCAGCGGGGGACCTGGGTGCTGCGGTAGCAGGTGCCACCACTGCACAGACACAGGGCTGGTCGCTCCTTGCACCTCGCAAAGAAGGATCAAGGCATCTCCAGCCACGACCTGCGGCGTGCTGGTGGATACGGACAGGCGCATGCGGCTCTCTGCAAACAACAGTTACTGTGTGAGAGGGGACGTTGTCGCGCTCCTCAGAGCCAGAGATATCTTTAGCATTAAATGGAGAGACTAGATAAAACTTGACACTGGAAAAAGGAAGTAATTGTCTGAGATTTTCACCCAGGCTTTTCTTATAGTTTTGGAGAGGACTTCGTGGGGTGGTGGGGTTTTTGGTTTGGGGTTGGTTTTTTTTCCCCCTTCTTTAAAGTCTTTCCTGGGACATGGATACATAAATAACTACTTAAGAAAGAGTCCCAACAGGCAGGTCCTGCTGCATCAGAATACTCATCATCTAGCTATGACAAGGAAACCAAGAGTGTCCTACATGTCTTTCTTAGAGCGGTTTCTCATAAGTCACCCCTCCAAAACAGGGAGAGCACCCTGATGGAAATGGCAATGAACCCCCCCCGTGCACAAGTACTTGTTCTGCTGGGTCATCCTGTGATCCTCAGGAGTAGCAACAGGCGTTGCTCACGATTTTCGGCACCAAAGACACAGGAGGACCCATCCTCCCCAGAACTCTACCTGTTTGCCTCAAAACTTATTGCAAAGAGACTGAACTAAAGGTTTACACCTTGTTGACAGCTGCTGCATCTGTCATGTTAATGTTTGCCAAAGCAAGTACTTTTCCCATTATTATCTACCAAAATCTATGGCACATTTGTGCTCTTGCTGCAAACAGCAGGTGTGTTGCCCCTGCCAAGATGAGGCCAGACTTGAAGTGTTCCCCAGTCAGGGACCATTGCAGGTTTTACCCAGAAGAGCAGCCATTAGGATTTACTAACCTATTGGCTTCACGTTGACCTGGATGCCTGACGACAGGTTGGTTTGGATGCTGTGAAAGTCTCCAGGAGTCTTCACCTCCGAAACAGAGCAGTGGTACGTACCATTGTCCTCCAGCCCCACCTCATAGACGGTGAGGACATAAACTGTGTTGCTTTGCTTGAATGCTTGGAGCTGTCCCCGCTTGGCTCTCTCCTCATATTCTTCTTCCCAAATCAATATCCCATGGGGGTCAACCCTGGCCACTTCCACACCATTGAGGAGCCAAAGCACTTGGAAGTGCCTGCTCCTGCTCTTCTGGGCTCCCACCATGCAATTTAGCTGCAAGGTGTCACCTTCAGAAAGGGAGCTTTCAGCAGCAGCGATGTCCACGGAGAGGTCTCTGCCTGCGGGCAAAAGCAAAGAGGGTGCTGGGCGGCCCTGCCGACACTTCCCTCCCACCTGCCAGCACAGATGGCTGTGCAGAGGGAAACAGGAGGGAATTCTCTACTGAAACATTTTCTCTCATTAGAAAAGTGATCAGGATGGAAAATTTTGCCCATGGGGAGATGGCTGCCATCTCCAGGCACTAACCAGCAGTTGCAGATGGAGGAAGCACTAAAGCCCCAAGGAGCTGAGCTCCCTGCTTCAGAGCAGCTAACCCCCACCCCAGAGCACAGCACCCACCGGCATGACCTCAACCCACAGCCACCCCCTGCTCAGCTCAGGCATCCAAACCAAGGGCTGCCCTAACCCAGAGGTATCAGCTTTTGTGAGAGGCTGCTCCATCTTGCCTCCTGGAGCTGTTCTACTTCATGTAACAAACACCTCTTCAACCAGAAAGGGGCACAAAGGGGCTTTATCACTCAGTGGTGGTTTGAACTCTACTGTCTCTGGTGGGAGAAGGTGCATGGAGGGCTGGCATCCAAGTTGCTTATCTTAACCTGCTGCTGGTTCCACATGCTGCAGCCTTCACCGGCTGCTGCAGGATGTGGGCAAGAGACTGTGTCCATGCTGGAGAGGTTTTGAGTTAGTTCCAACAGAAAGCAGAAATGTCAAGACTCATCACAGCATGGGGAGATTAGAGGGAAGCAAGAGGAGGTGGACGTGAGTCCTGGTCATGCCCCCCATACCGACTATCAACAGGTGCTGAGCAAAGAGGGTAGCAACAGGAGGTGTACAAAGTTATCTTCCCCTTGGCAGACCCTCTTGGGCAGTCAGCCACACCTGAGGCAAAGACCCCGTCTCTGGGTCCTATGATAGGATTCCCCTTCCTCGCAGGGCATTTGAAGCCTTTGCCGCTAATGTCCCCTGGTTCCTAGCATCAGCCTGGCTGGAGAGCAGCTGCAGGCAGAGACCCACAGGGTGCCCTGAAACCCTGCACCGTGACTCCACAGAGCAGTGGTGCGGCCAAAAACTGGGAGGTAGAGCTGAGCCCCAACAACCTGGGCAGGCAGCCTGGCTCACATCAGTCCGTCTCCTTGGGTCACTGTGGTGCCCCCGTGTCTAGCAACAAGGGCAAGGCTACATGCTGTAGTTTGGAGGTAGAACAGAGCAGCTCCCAGACTGCCATTGGAAAGGCTAGAATAATTTACTGAAAGCAGAGTACCCTGTGAATGTAAACACCCATTCATAAACAGTTTGGGACCAGGAATCCCAGCCGCTGCAGATATGTTTGGCATTCCCAAACATTTGCTGGAGAGTTTATAGAAACCGATGGAGCAGTTGGCCCCAGTCAGAGTGGTCGCTGGCTCCTGGTGTGACAAGGTGTTCAGCCCCACAGCCTGGGCTCTCCCACAGGGTGCTGGAGGGAGACCCCAGCCCTGCAGACGTGATGGAGGGCTCGTACGTCCGCCGCTGTTTCACCTGGCAATACCAGCAGCTCTAACACAACCACCATATTGTCCTCTTACCACCATCACCTCCCTTCTACCCTTAACAGCTAGGGCAAATATTAAACTCCGACAAGGTTTATCTATTTCTAAATGATCCTGTGGCACCTGGTACTCAAAGCCACACACTGCCAGTCATGATGAACCCTCTTGAACAAGCAGATGCCAGAAAGCACACCAACCGCCATTGCTCGCCAGGCAGCAGCAGACATGGGAAGCTATTGCTGCAAACAGCGTGTAATAAGGGGAATAAAGCTTTGCCAGTCAGCCAAGTTTCAGGAACCAGGCTCTGACAGTGGTTAACTGCACTTTCCTCCCCCTCCGCCCAACACCTTACCCTCCCTGAGCCACACATGGGGTGCTTGGTTCTTACCCATCCGTTTCTCTGGTTTCCTGCTCTGACTCACCGTCCTCCCAGGAGACATCGGTTCCCCTCACCTCTTCCCCTCACTGCCCCGGCCCTGCAGCCGCCCTGTGGTGTGGGGACGGGGTACACCACCTACCCAGGCAGGTTTTCAGTGAGAGACTTGCTCCCATCTTACTGCGCACGGCCACATATGTTAAAGGGCATCAACTAGACGCAGCCTTGTCTTGGCTGCTTTGAGGTAAAACCTTCTGGTGGGAAAGGCTAGAGGAAGGGCAGGGCAAGGGACGGCAGCCAGCAAAGGGCTTGTGGCAGGAGGGATAGCAGGCAAGGGGCTGGGGAGAGTGGCAGCGAACGCACAGCGCTGCAACCATCCCAGGGCAATGGGGAGAGAGGGGTTTGCCCACCAGCCCTGGGCAAGGTGATGCAGAGCTTGCAGATGCCAGGAGCCATGGGAAGCTGCTGGGCAGAGGGAACAGGAGGTGCCTGGCAGAGACAGAGTGGAATTGAGGAGAATGAGCAGCACTGGCAGGGGGCTGGTTTTCAAACTTTCCTGTTTTCATCCATCTCATACATGGTAGCAGGTCCAAGTCTCCTCTTTCTAAATAGTTTATACTATGTTTTGCTAGAGCGTAAGTCAGGAGCTTGGTGCATCCACTTCAAAGCACAGTCTGACCCACAGTCCCACTACTGCCATATATGAACTACTAGGAGGAGACACAAGAATGGTCTAATAATCAGCAACACCAGTTGCTCTGGAAACCAGCAGACTGATGGTAGCACAGACAGACAAGCCACCTCCAGCAGACACGAGATCTGTGCAGCACATCCCCGTGTCCCTTTGTGCCTGTGGCACCACGATGGGCAGCTGACTGTTGTGTACTTCAGTTTTTGAGGCCGTGAGACCCTCAAAGCAGTCTAACAATGTGTTTTTCCACGCACTGGAGCTTAATGCTGCCAAGGAGCCATGCTGACACAGGCACACACTGATCTCTCTGCTAATATCTCACACAGGCCTGCAAGGTTGCACAATCACTGCCAGCATCAGAGACTGAGCTGCATGAACCTCCACAGCGAGAAGCACCAACAGCTCCCAAACCAGGGGCTGCCATGGCCCCAAGCCCAGCTTGCCCCCCTCAGTACCTGGCGGAGGTGGCCAGACCCACCGGTGGGTCCCTGGGCTGCAGCAGAGGCAGGCAAAGGCCACTGAAGGTTGCTGCTATAGAGACTGGAACGCACAAAGGAGCTAGAGCCAATGTACGAGTCTGCAAGGGCCTTACCTTGGATCCTGACTGCCAGCAATGTCCTCCTTGTTTGTTTGCGGGAGATGTCCTTCCATGTCTCATCAGGATCCTCAATCCACTCAGCTGCCTCGCAGTACAGCTGCCCGTGGTCAGACGGCTCCACCCCCCCGATGGAGAGCGTGTATGTGGTGTTCCCAACCTTGTTCAGGCGCACGTCCCCTGCCAGAAACCTCCGCGTGTAAGAGGGCCCTGGCCTCAAGACAAAGTCCTTGGAGAGGGTGAGGACCTCCTCAGCGTGGCTCTCTCCTGCTCCCTGAAGACGGTACCAGCCAACAGAGAGATGTGTGTGCTGGGCAGTGGACTTGGACACCTCGCAGGTGAGCTCCACCGCCTCCCCTTCAGCATGGCTGAGGACCTGGGGCACCATGGAAGCCGCGAGGGTGTCTGCGATCACTGAGCACGGGGCAGAAACACAGAGAGCAGTGGGTCACAGGAAAATTAATTTCTTGGCCTCGACGGGCAACCTGCTGGTCACTACGAGACCACAAGCAGGCTCTGAGGGATATGACAGTGTAGGAGAAATATCTTTTGTAGCTGATTGACAAGGCTTCCATCAGCCTACATCAAGGTGTGAAGTGGTTAAAATCTCAACAGGGCAGAAGGCACAGCAAACCTCTCTGCAGCACCCTCTTCAGACAACCCCAAGGACATTAATGAGCAGCCTCCTGTGATCCCAAGCGCAGGCTGGCACACCACCAGGATAACAGAGGAAACGGGGCTGAATACCAGATGCTGTACCACTGTGCAGACTTGGTGGGCTCCCTTGGTAGGGCCTTTCCCTTTGCCTCTCCACCCCACTGCGTCCCCTCTTCCAGTGCTCTGCAGGAGGTTCTCCCTCCCTGTTTCTGTGGGTATCCTGCTTGGGTCAAGTCCCATACCCTGACCTGAGAGGAAACCAACAGCTAATGTACAGAGCCTAAAGACTCCCACCCTCCTAAGCATTTAGCTGTAAAATGCTGTGGCTGCGTCAGGAACTGAAGTTAAAGTCGGGCCACAGGACAGCAGAGGCTTCCTCTCCCTTCTGTTGCCCTGGCTGGGAGGCAACGGCCAGAGCAACCTGCTGAGGGACCTCTGGGCATCCCAACCTTGGCCACTCAGGGGAAAGGTAGCAATTCCACAGCGGGAAAAGAAGGAAAATTTGTGCCCATCAGCCCCATTAATCTCCCTTTTCCCCATCTGCCCCTCTGTCGGGGACCAGTAGACGAGCAGTTCTACCCAGTGCAAAGTGGGGGGCAGAGGGAGCCTGCCTGCACCCCCACCCGGCAGGGAGCGGGGCTCTCCGTCAGGACTCACCCGAGAGGTTCGTCTTGGCGCTGTAGCTCCCAAAGTACCTCTCGTCGGTGTTGGGCGTGTGGCACTCGTACTCCCCAGCATCCCGGTCCTGCAGCTCGGTGATGTGCAGCAGGACGGCGTCCCCCTGCACCCGCTCCACGAAGATCGCTCCGCCGGGCCCTGGTAGCCGCTCACCTTGCACCACAGCGTGACGTGGGTCCCCCTCACGCGGTAGAGGGGCCCCTTCTGAACAGTCACCACCCGTTGGCCAGTGCTCAAACCTGCCGGCAACAGTCGGCACACACAGTGTTTGCAGGGGCATACGCGGCCCAAGGGCTGCACACCCAAAACAGCAGTGGGTCAGGACGTGCACAGGACCACAACGTAACACTGAAAAAAACTGCTGTGCAGTCTCATTCTTTGAAGCACGAAGTCCATGGGACTTCACACCCCTTGCAACTGTAAGAACAAGTCCTGTAACAACAGGCCTCTGAACTTTCTTGTCACCTAGCACAGTGGGCCACATGACAGAGACCAAAG